GGCGTAGCTAGCGCCAAGTACTACGGGGAGGTCAGCGACGTCGCCCCCTGGCGTTGGACCTTTCGAACCGCCGCGGAGCATCATGGCATCGACTCTCTGCGTGACGTGGAAGGCCCAGCGCGCCCCTCGCGGCAGGCTGCCCTGGCAGAGCGGCTGGAGGCGGTGAAGTTTCTCTACGCGGCTGACCAGGAGGACCCGCGCCCCGACCCAGTCAGGGCCAGGCGCATCGCACAGGTGCTCGCTGCTTGGACGGACTTCAGACGCATTAGCCTCGCCCACGCGGATTCGTTCTCGTTCGCAAAGGAGAGAATATGTGATTTCTTTGCCAACGTCACAGACGACCTGTCGAACCTCTACCTGACGTCCGTGTGCATGCCCATCTTCGGGAATACGTGCTACCTCAACGCCGTGGTGCAGGCCCTGATCCACTGCAAGCCTTGGAGGCGTCGGGATGTTTCAATCCAAACGAGCGCGTCGTTCCGCACAGTTGCTCCGGCGCTGCGAGTCCCATGACGCATCGCATTGCGTTTTGAAAAAGCGGCCCTGGGCTACCGCTGAGCTCCCGATTCAGTGCTCGGTTACCACGGCCAGCGACTCTAGTCGTGGGGTACGATATGATTTGGTAACACGCTCCTCCCCCCTCCCTTGCCCCGTATTCATGGGACTTGGTCGCGTCGAGAGCACGGTGCGTCTGCGTCTGCCAGGCTGGAGATTCTTCGCAACGGCGAGGCCGACCTGACGCCGCTCGGCCAGTGCCTGAGGCGCTACGTTCTCTCGTATGCCCGGGCCTCAGACGAGCTCTGATCTCGATCCTCTCTGGCCCAGTTCCAAGGGTTCTTCCACGCGGGCGATTCGGCGTGCGCCTGGAGATTTTCCATTGAAAGGCTGCGCCAATCGCAATGCCCAGAGGCTTTCCGTCAAAGGGCGAGTCAGGCAACTTGCGTCCTTGCGTCTCTCAAATGGTGACACTCAGCTCTTGTCGATTTCAGCGAAACGGCCCTCGGTGACCCCCTCGCCTCTTGTCCCATGGGTAAACGGCTCTCGGTGACCCCCCGCCCCTGGGCCCCCCAGGAACGGCCCTCGGTGACCCCCATCGCCCTCTAGCTCTCCGGGGAACGGCCCTCGGTGACTCCCATCGCTGTTTGCCCATTCTTGCAGACGGCCCTCCACGAGCTTCTCGCTCTGTCTGATCGGCCCCCAGGGTCTCTGATCTCGATCCTCTGCCAGTTCCAAAGGTTCTTCCACGCGAGCGCTCCGGCGTGCGCCTGGAGATTTTCCATTGGAAGGCTTCGCTGATCGCCATGCCCAGAGGCTTTCCGTCAAAGGGCGAGTCAGGCAACTTGCGTCCTTGCATATCTCAAATGGTGCCACTCAGCCCCGTTTGAATTCAGCGAAACGGCCCTCGGTGACCCCCTCGCCTCTTGTCCCATGGGGAAACGGCCCTCGGTGATCCCTCGCCCCTGGCCCTCCCAGGAACGGCCCTCGGTGACCCCCATCGCCCTCTAGCTCTCCGGGGAACGGCCCTCGGTGACTCCCATCGCTGTTTGCCCATCCTTGCAGACGGCCCTCCACGAGCTTCTCGCTCTGTCTGATCGGCCGCCAGGGTCTCTGATCTCGATCCTCTCTGGCCCAGTTCCAAGGGTTCTTCCACGCGAGCGATCCGGCGTGCGCCTGGAGATTTTCCATTGAAAGGCTTCGCTGATCGCCATGCCCAGAGGCTTTCCGTCAAAGGGCGAGTCAGGCAACTTGCGTCCTTGCATATCTCAAATGGTGCAACGCAGCTCCGTTCGAATTCAGCGAAACGGCCCTCGGTGACCCCTTCGCCTCTTGTCCCATGGGGAAACGGCTCTCGGTGGCCCCTCGCCCCTGGCCCCCCCAGGAACGGCCCTCGGTGACCCCCTCGCCCTCTAGCTCTCCGGGGAACGGCCCTCGGTGACGCCCATCGCTGTTTGCCCACCCTTGCAGACGGCCCTCCACGAGCTTCTCGCTCTGTCTGATCGGCCGCCAGGGTCGCCTCGGTGGTCCGGGCGGGGGGAGGCGGCTCTAAAGTGGAAGTCCGCCGAGATTCAGACATCAGTCGTCTCGCCAAGGCAGACCCGGCCAGCACGTGCTTGGACACCGTGCCCCTGCTGGGGAAACTGGTCAGCTACTTCCTCCACCACAGTAAGTATCCTGGAGGAACACAGCAGGACGCCTCCGAGTGCGCCACCTTCCTGCTGGGGTGCTTGGACAACGCCCAGGACCTCCGCACGCGAGTGTTCGGCTCGGGAGCCGCCGAGGCCGTCGAGGACCAGATCCTGTGCCAGGTGTCTCCCGACGCGCAGGTAGCAGCGGCGGCGGGCAAAGTCAATGTTGCTGGTATGCTGATGGTATCTTTGACCGGAGACGCTGCCATCGCGGCGCCTTCTCCTGCGTTGATGCTGCGCGTTGAGAATACTTACGAGCTCGGTGGCGTCCGCCACTCCGTCACTGCTAGGGCAGATTGGGGCACCGCCGAATTTGAGGTGACGGTGGCCGGCACTGAAGACACTGCTACGTATCGCGTCGACTCGCTTGCGGCACACGAAGCAGATGGAGACGTCTCCGCCGACCAGATGATGCAATCTGGCCACTACTTCACGTTCGTGCACTTGGACAACGAATGGTTCAAGTTGAACGACGGTAAGGTTTCCAAGCTGAGCGAGCCACCAGAGCATTTCCAGTACCTCGTCTTCTTGACGCGCGTCGACACACCCACGGGCAGGCGCCTGCGCGGCAAGCAGGCGCGGGCTGATCCCCGCACTATGCGGGACCTCTTGACCAGCAGGGTGGCGGAGGCCGCGTCGGTGGCGCTGCAGCAACCGGATCGACGCGCCCAAGGGCAGACCAGCCAGGCCCGCGGGCAAGAGCCGGCTGGGGCGAGCAACCACGGCGGCCCGCAGCACGGCCAAGGCGGCAGGTGCAGAAGCGGTCGACAGCAAGACCGAAGCAGCCGGGACCAGAGCGGCCGGGCCCAGAGCGGCCGGGAGCAGGACCGAAGCGGCCGACAGCAGGACCGAGACGAACGCGCGAGTGGCAAAGAAGCCCTACGGGCTGATAAGGCACGTCTGCTCGCAGACGACAACGTGAAGAAGAGGTGGGCAAGATCCGGACAGGGGGATAATCGAGACCGCACCCGACTCGATCACTTCGCTGAGTCCCAGGACCCGATCCGCAGGTATGAGCATACTCGTGAGCTTCGACGCAAGGAACCTACGGAGAAGGTCAAGATCTGGGACATGCGGGCGCTACACACTCAACCTGTGCCATGTCAACTCTGCCAGGACACAGAGTTCATCTGCAAGGGCGACTGGCTCGAGAACGTGAGCAAGGAACACGGGGGGGAACAGAGGTACCGCAATGTCCGCTTCGCGCTCGAGTCGCTGTGCCCGCACAAGACCACCGGCCAGGAGATGAGGCTCACCATCAGCAACTTCACGGAGTTCTACACTCGCGGAGCCATGGGCTGGGACGGGTTCTCGGAAGAGATGACGGCGCAGGCCAACTCGGACGAAGGATTGCCTCGTGACCAGAGGTGGGACCACAGGTGTATGAAGGCGTGCGTCTTCTGCGCGCGACGCCAGTGGTCGGAAGACGTCCAGGAAGTGTACCTGGCCGGGCCGGAGTGTTCCATGCAGGCTCCAGAGGCCGTGGCCGTGCTGCTCGACCCAGAGACGTACCACGAGGCCTGGAACCTCATCCCGAAGGAAGAGCTTCTCGCGTCCGCCGTGAACAAGAGGGTCGGAGACTCGCAGGGGCGCAGGCGCGTGCTCCTCCACAAGCGCCGAGTCAGTGATGCGCAAGCCAGCGGGCACGAGAAAGTGAACGTCTGCCAGGAGTGTTTCGACAACTTCAGGAAGAAGACGCCCACGATGTGCAAGTACGCCCTGGCGAACCACATGTGGATTGGCCGCTGGCTCCCGCTGTTCCGAGACACGACGCTGGCGCACGAGATGCTGCTCGCCCTGGCGCGGGTGGTTGCCACCAAGGTTGTGTTGCGGCCAGACCAGCGCTCCAAGGCTGAGACTGCCGGCACTCAGACCGCGCGCTCCTGGGACTTCCTCTTCCACCAATCTGGCTTCACGGGATGCGCCGTGCTGTTCGGGAACGCCTCGTGCACCGAGGCCTTGACGCGGTTCCCAACCCCTGACCTGGGAAAGTCTTTTGCCGTCAGTTTCACGGGGCCGCCCTCCCAGGGCGACGAGGGCGCCGACGAGGCCCAGCGCAGGGGCCGCGCCCGCGTCAGCCGCATCGCTCAGCTCCAGATCGAGAAGTCAGTGTTCGACGCCCAGGCGGCCTACCTTCGGAAGACCAACGTCGCATACGCCGAGACCACTTACGACGCCGACCTGGTGGCCCAGTGGTGCCCAGCGGGCATTGAGAAACGGGTGCCGCCTCCGATCTCGGACTCTGCTGTGGAGGTCCCCATGGACACCGACGACCCGGGCGTGGTCCTGTCCAGCGGGCCCGGGGACGCCACGGCGGCGGGGCACGCCGACAAGATCGACGAGGACGTCGCGCTCGAGCGCCAGTCCAGAGTGGTGGCCGCCTTCCACCCCGATGACACTCCTGGAGCCAAGGCTCACGAGAGCTGCATGCAGATCACGGCCCTGCAGCACCAGATGGAAGAGCTCGACGCCGCCGCAGCGCGGTCGGTGGCGGCGGAAGCGGAGTCCATCCTGGAGTCGCAGTTGGACGGCAACGACTCCTGCCTGCAGGACGAGGCCGGCCGAGAGCGCATTCTTGAGCAGTGCGCCAAGGTTCGGAAGCTCGCGCAGAAAGCTACGAGCTAGCAGTCGCAACACAAAATGCTCGCAGAGCTGCAATGGCTTCTCAGTGGCGTCGATTGTCAGGCTGCTCCGCCCGCGGCGCCGAGCACGTCGTAGCCTTCCGACGCCGCCGCCGCGTCCGCCTCGACCACTGTGCCTCGCCTGCAGGTCGCGCGGGGCAGCAGGCCGTTTTCTCTGTTCAACTGGGAAGCCATGACGCAGGCTCGACCCACTCTCTGGCACTATGGAGACGGAGCCTTTGGCGATCCGCAGCGAGCCTATGCTCCGTACGTCCCGCTCCTTCCCGTGGAATGGATCACGCGCCTGCTCATGCGCGAGGAGCTGGAGTACACTGTGGACGGAGAAGACGAACAGTGCAAGGTGGACCCAGATCTTCTGTCCAACCGGTTTGCCTCTGATCGGCTCGTCCTTCACCTGCTCTCCTCCATCTACTGGCTCACAGAGCGCCACGCGTCGCAGTGCGCCTTCCTGACGAGCGGCGGCATGAAAATCGCCGAGCAGCTCCTGAAGTTGACGTCGGAAGAAATCGCCGCCGCCGCTCGTTTGCAGCACGCGCGGGACGGCCGTATTCATGGGCTGCGCAACTTGGCATCCGACCAGGAGTTCCCTCACAACCTCTCTGTGGCCCTGAATGCCTTGCAGATGGGCCACGCCGACGTCATGGGCACGGACGGACACCGCCGACTGTGCCGGTACGAGGGGAATGCCTACATGACCTTGTTCGGCGAGCCTGCGGTGTTCTGCACTCCCAACCTCGCGGACACGAAGCAGCCGCTGCTCCTCGTCGTCCAGGGGGAAGAGATTCGTCTGGAGGACAGTTTTATCTCGGGCAACGAGACCCTGCCGAAGTACCGGGACATGATGAAGAGGCTTGCCGCAGACCCAGTGGGTCAGACGCTCGTGTTCGACAAGATGATGAAGCTGTTCTTCATACACGTACTGGGAGCACGACCAGAACTCTTGGAAAATCGGCGTCGCGCGCGGCCCTCTGCCGATCAGTGCACGGACGGCGTCGCGGCTTCTTCTTTCGGGCAGGGCATCTTCGGCCCCGTGCTTGCTTTCCGCGGGGAGATCGAAGCGCAGGACAGGGGCTCTCTACATCCGCACATCCTGGTGTGGTTACTTGGCATAAAACCAGCGGACGTATTGCGAATGCTGCAGCGAGACCCTGGTTCCCTGCAGACCCGCCTGGTGACCTGGATGAAGCAGTGCGTGTCGTCCATGCAGTCCACTTGCCAGAGCTCAGTGATGAGAGCGCCCCAGAGGTTTGGCCACCTCGACCAGGTCGCGGAACCGCTCCCGTGTTCCAAGACAGAGCGAAGTTTGACCAAGTACGACGGTGGCAGCGAGATCGACGCCATGCGCGACGATCTTCAACGAGATAGCGTGGAACCAACGGAGGAGCAGAGTCGTCTCTTCGAGGACGCGGCCGAAAAAGGCAGCGTGGAGCAGACCTGAGTTGCCCCTCAAAGCCAAGTCGGTCACGCAGACGAGCGCGGCAGGGGACGGCAAGCCGGAGCCCGGATCCACGTACTCGAAGGTTGTCTCCGAGTTTGCCGTATTCAGGTGTCCGGACCATCGCAGGCGCGGTGCGCTTCATCGCCGCGGTGATCTCAGTGCCGGCGAGCAGAGCCCGCACTCGTGGGAGCAGGCTTTCACGGAGGACGCGAGGTCCTTGGCTGAGGAGATCCTGGTGCACGTGTGCGGGGAGAGCTGCTTCAAGTACAGCGGCGTCAAGGTTCAGAAAATATGCAGGCATGGCTACTACTACATCATCAGCCTACCAGGCTGGCAGAGACGACGGCAAGGGGAGCCTCTCCGCAACGCAGTCGTCGTCGTGGGCCAATCTGAACACGGCATGACAGGCAGGCTGCTTTTGTTCCAGGAGCACCCTTCCGAGTGCCTCATCAACTACGCCGGGCTGGATTGCGTGCGATGCAACCTGGACGTGCAGGATCTGCTGGTGTGTTCGAAAATTCGGCGCGTTGTTTTCTGGAGATGTTCTGATTCGCGTTATTGAGTCGTGTTCTGATGACACTCTTTCGAGAAATGGCCCTCGGTGACATCCCCTCCTCCTTGAATGGCATGGACTACCGCCTGGGGGAGGAGGGGGGGGGTTGTAGAGTGGGATTGGGCTCTGCTGGATAACGGGCATCTGTGGTGAAAGGGCCCTCGGTGACCTCCTCCGCTTTGCTTGTCTCTTCCCAGGATCTTCGGCGCCTTCCTCCTTCGCAGCGCTGGCTCCAACCGGACGAGGAACTCCCGCACCTTGGCGACCAGCCAACTTTCGGGTACATGAACAACTACGAGTGGGTAGAGAATGACTACTTGCCGAGACGTTCCCTCGAGAAGGGCAATCTCCCCGCCGAGCCTCACGCATTCACGGAGGAGTTTACTCCCGATGAGTGGAGAGCCATACTCCTGGAGTGCATGCGGTCGGACGATGCAACAGTCGCCCAGAACAATGAGCTCGCGACAGTCATGGAGCGAGAATCCACGGCCGCGATGTGCGACGGCATCAACACGGGCTTCTACATCAATGCGTACACCACCAAGCAGCTGCCGGACATGCAGGGGACCCTCGAGGAGCTGCGCAAGGGGATCGAGCGTCTGGAGCTGAGGCGGGAGGAAATGCAGGAGGCCACCAAGAAGACGCAGAGCCGCGATGCAGAGGGGAGCGCTGTTTCCGAAGCTCCCGGGCGGGGCCCCAACAAGTTTGGGCAAGTCCTGCAGACTCTGAACCTTATGTCGTCTGCCTTCAAGCGGTGCCATCATAGGGGCATGAGCGAGATACTGATGCCAATCATGTTCAACACCATGACGTACTTCTCCCATCGTTGCTGGAAGGTGTTCATCAAGAGGGCCGTCTTTCTCGCTGCGCAGACGTGGCGGAACAAGTTCGGCCAGGCCGTGCGACACAAACGCATCAAGGACGGCGGCGGAGTTGGTCTGAGGTATCTCACCAAGGACAAGCAGTCTTATCCGCTCGTGGGATGGGAGCGCGTGCGTCTGGACGGCGGCGCGGAGCTCTACCGGCACCCAGATGGCACCGAGCTCGGGAACCTCCAGTCTGCCTACGACTACGACGTGGCCGTGAAGAGCCCGAACTCGTCGGGGTCTTACAAGGACGAGCGCAAAGTAGCGCTGACTGCGCTGCAGCGCTTCTTGAACGAGGCAGAGGCGGAGACGACGGAGGAGAAGGGCAGGGAGGGGGCCAGGCGCACGCGCACTACTACGCCCGTCGACGACTGGTTGCATCGCGGGAACCACGCAGTCCTGAAAGACATGCCGTTGTACATCTACGCCATATGGGTCTACTCGGCCGAGAAGCCACCTCCTTGCCAAGGACGCGCCTTGGGAACCGAAGGGGGAGGGGGAAGGGGGATAGGGGGGGGGGCCGCGAGGAGGAACAGGGGGAGAGGCGAAGAGGAGAGTGGGGAGGTCACCGAGGGCCGTTTTCAGGCCGAAGGAAACAGGTGCAGGAGCAGGAGCAGGAGAAGAGCAGGTGCAGGAGCAGAGAGACGAGGTGCAGGAGCAGAGAGGTGCAGGAGCAGAGAGAAAAGGAGGTGGGCTAGGAGGAGAACAACTCTGGCGTCGGAGATAGTCGGGCGCAGGGCCGAGGAAGTCCTAGACTGGCCGAGGGAGAGAGAGGAGTAGGCAATGAGGCTCCCTTGCTTGCCATGTGCTCCAGGCACAGAGAAGAAGTCCAATGCCATTGAGGCCGACTTCGACCCGAAATACACCCACGCCAAGACCCGAGTCCAGCGGTTGACCGCCGTGTTGCGAGCTCCCATGTTCGATGGGTTCCAGATGCCGTCGCACACGCAGGATTCGGAAACAGCCGCCATGTACAAGCAGTTGCTGCTGCGCCCCTCGGCTAAAGCGTACAGCGACACTCTGACTGAGGAGATGGCCGAACTGGAAGCATTTGCACCCATGTGTCCGCCGTTGCCAGACGGCTCCCGGGAGTACTTCACGCCGGCCACGGCGTTCTCGGCGAATTGGATACGTTACCAGCGGGAGATGGAGGGGGACGCAGCAGAGGGCCGGCGGCGGTTCCTGGACAGGTCCGAGTACCCATCCCTGTGGGAGACGGAAGAGGTCATTGCAGCGCAACACGGGGCCTGGCTGGAGCGCGGCCACGTCGGGGAAGCCGATCCGGATCATTGCCGCGCGCTCAGTGGCGCCGATCTATAGCCCCGACCGATGCTCCGCTCGAGATCGTCGGCTGCGTCGGTGGCCCTGTCGATCTCAGGAGACTGTCGAGGTCGTCGTCAGCGTCGTCGCGTGCGTCGTTGGTTTTTAGATGCCGAACGAGTCTCAGGGATTTAACGTTTTCCAGAAAACGGCCGTCGGAAACCCCCACTTCTTCCTGGGATTCGGTCAGAACGCCAGGCCCGCTCGTCGGGCCCATCGCGTGCTCTCGGCGCGCGCTGCCACCTCTCCGCGTTTTGGATGATTCCGCGTTGCTTGCCAGTGTGCTTCCGTGCTTCCCGCCTCTCGTGCCCCTGAGGTCCTGACAAGAGCAAGGAGCGAGCCAAGGTGAAGCAGCGCGCCGCCCTCGCCGGGCTGCAGGTCGCGCAGAACCTGGAGGGCCTCGCGAGGGGGCGCATGGAGCACCGCCCGCGTCAGTACCAGTCCGACGCTGCCGTTCACCAGGCGTGCCTCCGCATGACCGCTGGCGGAGACGGGCCTAGCGACGGCGAGGGGGCGGGCGACGCGGCGGACGACCCTCCCGCTGCGCCGCAGTTGAAGATCGGCACTTTCGAGGAGCTGCCCCTTCTGGGGATGAGGAGTTCCGAGGACTTCAGGAAAACGCTGACCTACGGCCATAGGACCCGGCTCCGAGCCTTCGAGAAAGAGCTGCTGGCCCTTCCGTGCATGGACTGGAAGGACGTCCTCCTCGACCACTCGCGCGCTGTTCGCCTGTTCGACCAAGGCCACGGGGAAGCATGGCGTCTGCAATGCCGCGGTCTGCACGACAGCATGCTGGACGTGTGGAGCGGCACGGACCACGTGGACAAGCAGCTCCATATGCTCAGACTGCAGGATTTTGCATTCCAGGACAAGACCACAGACGAAAGCGACTCTGACGACGAGGAGAAGGCGCCTGGCGCGGGAGGGACCCCGAGCCGGCGTCATTCGACGAGGCGGGCGCGCACGCTACCCCGAGCGCTTACATCATGGACCTCGTGGCTGGATTGCCTGAGAAAAAGCGGCTCACTCGGGACCAGGTAATATTTGCCATGCGCTTTGCTGATCCCTGTGACCAGGTCTGGCACGACGAGAAGAACGGCACCCCCTGCCACCAGCGCAAGGTCCACCACATCCTTCTACTTGGCCAGGGCGGATCCGGCAAGACGCACGTGGTTCAGGAGCTCGTTTTCAAGGCGGTGAACCACATCTGGCCTGAAGAGAGCAAAGCCAGTCCGAGCCTCGTCGTGGCGGCCTTCTCCAACGCTCAGGCCAAGAATACCTCGACGGCGAACGTGGAGGCCATGACGATGCACGGAGCCGGAGGCATGGGCGTGCAGGAGTATACGAACGCCAAGATGCGGCCCATCCAGGCGAAGCTCAAGAAGCTGGAGCAGCGCTGGCGCCGAGTGCGCGTGCTCATCATGGAGGAGATCAGCATGATATCTGCATACCTCTACAACATGCTGGACTTCAGGTGCATGTTCGGCAGGCGCCAGGAGTTCGCCGTGGACGAGTCCAACTACAGGAAGGACCACCACCATTTTGGGCGAGTCCCCATCGTCATTCGCTTGGGCGACTTCCTCCAGCTCACCCCGACGAAAGCCAGAGGGCTCATCAGGGACGTCCAAGAGAAAGATGAGCACGGCAATTACAAGTTGGATCCGCCTCCGAGCGTGGAAGTGCAGCACGCCATTAGAGCGTTCGGCAAAGTGCCCCACGGGATCGAGCTGAAGGGCGCAAAGCGCTTCAAGCCGGGCGACCCGCTGATCGAGCTCCTCGCCTGCATGCGCCACGCGAGACGGATCCCCGACTATGTCTGGGCAGGCTTCCAGGCTCGGGTCGCCACCGACTGCACGACCAGAGTGAGGGGCCCGAGGCGCGACGAGGAGAAGTTTGCGACCGGATTCGGGATGGCCTGGTACTGGAGTACGCTGTGCCGATGGATATCTCGCCGGACCATGGTCGACTCTCGCGCCATGGGCGTGCCGCTGGTCTTCCTGCAGTCAAAGGACGAGGGCGTCTCCTGCGGCACACCACAGGAAACAGTGGAGGCTTGCAAAAGGCTGCTGAACGTGCCGAACCCTTGCGAGACGGGGCACATGCACGGAGTTCTTCCAGCGCGCGTGGGCATGGAGGTGAGATTCACCGTCAAGGTGTCCAAGCGCAAGAGCTTGGTCCAGGAGCAGAAGGCCACCATAGTGAGCTTCGTGTTCGAGAGCAGCGACCAGGTTAGGTACGACGCGTGCGCGCCAGGGGAGATCTTCCGCCCGCGCTTTCTGCCTGCCGGAATCCGGATGCAGGTGCGCAAGTTTGAGAAGCAGAGCCCGGACGTGGTCGCCGCCCTCGCCAACTCTTTCGGAATCGACAAAGAAGGCGAACGGCCTGTTCTGCCCCCCGCTCATGGAGGCGAACTTCAAGTGGACAAGCGCCAACAAAACGCACCGGGTCAAAAGGTATGGGTACGCGCTCACGCACGGGCGCTTCCTGACATCCACCGCGTCACAGGGCCAGACGATCCGCACGGGGGTGACCATCGATTGCGCGCAGGACAAGAGCATCGGCAGACCGGAGGAAAGAGAGGAGACCTGGTGGCTGCACCTGTACGTGATGCTCAGCAGAGCCACTTGCATGGAAGACATGCTCTTGCTTCGGCCACCGCCACGGGAGGTCTTGCAGAAGGGCCCACCTCCGTCCGTGCTCAAAGCCCTCCAGAAGTTTGATGAGCGCATGGCTACGGAGACGCGGGAGATCGAGGCCCTCGCTCTGGAACGCCAATGGATCTTGCCGGCGGCGTGAGGTCGTTGGAGTTCACGGGCGCCCGAGTCTTTCCGACAAAGGCAGCGCTGTCCAGCCGCGTCAAATTCGCGCGGCATGCGCCGCTGCTTGACGTTTTCTGATCGCCCGCCCATCTGTTGTCCACGTGCCAACCGCAGCCCAGAGATTTTTCATCGAAGGTCACTCGCAGATTGCACGCAGGTGGATTATGTCTGGTTTGCAACTCCTTTGCGCGCGCGGCTCAGAGACTCTCCGTCGAAGAGACGCGGGGACACGTGGAGACTGCATGAGACAAAGCTAAGAAAAGTACGCCCGCCCAGGTGAGAAGGGGAGGCAGGGGTGCGGGATAATGCAACATGAAGGGAGGGAGGGAGAAAGGATCGCTCTAGAGCTTCCTAGAGCGATTGCGCAAGGGGTTTGATTGGCACTGGCTTCCACAGTGGGCCCCCTGACGAGGCGCGATGTGGCAGATCGTCTTGCATTGCCTCATTGCTTTTTACCGCCCCAGGAAAAGGCCCTCGGTGACCACATCGAATCTGTCCTCGATGGAGGAAAGAAGGCTGGGAAGAGGGAGGAGGGTCAAGCAATTTGGCGTTGGATGACACATGGGGAACATTCGCGACGAGCGCTCAGAACGCAGGATTGCGCATCTCTCTATATATATAATACACCAGCAAACACATAAGATTTAAATTAAGTATGTGGGGTTCCTCGGTAGCGTAATTTGTGGTAGGGTCCTGTTTGCTTTTCCTAGGGTCTCGTCAGTTTTGGCATAGTTTTCCTATGGTCTCGTGGAGTTGTGGCAGGGTCCTGTTTAGTTGTCCTAGGGCGTCGTTTAGTTTGGCTAGGGTACTGTTTCGTTTTCCGATGGTACCGTTTAGATTTGGTAGGGTTCAACTTAGTTTTCCTATGGTCTCGTTTAGTTGTGGTAGGGTCCTGTTTAGTTGTCCTAGGGTCTCGTTTAGTTTTGCTAGGGACCTGTTTCTAGGGTCTCGTTTAGTTTTGCTAGGGTCTGGTTTAGTTGTCGTAGGGCCTCGTTTAGTTTTGGTAGGGTCCTGTTTAGTTGTCATATGGTCTCGCTTAGTTTTGCCAGGGTCCTGTGTAGTTGTCCTAAGGTCTCGTCTAGTTTTGCTAGGGTCATCTTTAATTGTCCTACGGGCTCGCCTAGTTTTGGTAGGGTCCTGTTTAGTTGTCCTAGGGTCTCGTTTAATTGTGGTAGGGTCATGTTTAGTTGTCCTAGGGTCTCGTTTAATTTTGGTAGGGTCCTGTTTAATTGTCCTAGGGTCTCGTTTAGTTTTGGCCGGGTCCTGTTCCGTTTTCCTAGGGTCTCGTTAAGTGTTGGCGGGGTCCTGCTCAGTTTCCCGAGGGTCTCGTTTAGTGTTGGTCGGGTCCTGTTTAGTTGGCCTAGGGTCTCGTTTAGTTTTGCGAGGGTCATGTTTAATGTTCCTAGGGTCTGGTTTAGTTTTGCCAGGGTCCTGTTTAGTTGTCCGAGGGTCTCGTTTAGTTGTGGTAGGGTCCTGCTTAGTTGTCCTGGGGTCTCGTTTAGTTTTGCTAGGTCATGTCTTTTTTTTTCTCCGAGGGTCCCGTTTAGTGTTGCCAGGGTCATGTTCAGTTGTCCTAGGGTCTCGTTTAGTTTTGGTAGGGTCCTATTTGGTTGTCCTAGGGTCTCGTTTAGTTCTGTTAGGGTCCTGTCTAGTTTTCCTATGGTCCCGTTTAGTGTTGGTAGGGTCCTGCTTAGTTGTCCCAAGGTCTTGTCTAATTTTGGCATTGTCATGTTTAGTTGTTCTAGGGTCACGTTTAGTTTTGGTGAGGTCCTGTGTAGTTTTCCTAAGGTCCCGTTTAGTTTGGCTAGGGTATTGCTTAGTTTTCCTAGGGTCTCGTCTAGTTTTGGTAGGGTCCTGTTTAATTGTCCTATGGTCTCGTTTAGTGTTGCGAGGGTCCTGTTGCGTTTTCCTAGGGTCTCGTTTAGTTTTGGCAAGGTCCTGGTTACTTTTCTTTTTTCCCAACCATCCTGTGGTGTTGGGTCCTCGTTTTGAAGAGACGGTGCCCCGCGTTCCTCTCCTTCCTCCTCTCCTCCCTCCTCCCCCTCCTTGCCTCTGCTCTCGGCACACCTCTCACGCGTTTCGTAGCCCCATAGGGAGCTCCACCGAAGGCCCAGTGGGGGCGTTCGCATGCGGTTCCCCCACCCAGGGCAGCGTTTCGTGGCCCCATAGGGAGCTCCACCGCAAGGCCCCAGTGGGGGTGTTCGCATGCGGTTCCCCCACCCAGGGCAGCGTTTCGTAGCCCCATAGGGAGCTCCACCGAAGGCCCCAGTGGGGGTGTTCGCATGCGGTTCCCCCACCCAGGGCAGCGTTTCGTGGCCCCATAGGGAGCTCCACCGAAGGCCCCAGTGGGGGTGTTCGCATGCGGTTCCCCCACCCAGGGCAGCGTTTCGTAGCCCCATAGGGAGCTCCACCGAAGGGCCCAGTGGGCTGTTCGCATGCGGTTCCCCCACCCAGGGCAGCGTTTCGTGGCCCCATAGGGAGCTCCACCGAAGGCCCCAGTGGGGGTGTTCGCATGCGGTTCCCCCACCCAGGGCAGCGTTTCGTGGCCCCATAGGGAGCTCCACCGAAGGCCCCAGTGGGGGTGTTCGCATGCGGTTCCCCCACCCAGGGCAGCGTTTCGTAGCCCCATAGGGAGCTCCACCGAAGGCCCCAGTGGGGGTGTTCGCATGCGGTTCCCCCACCCAGGGCAGCGTTTCGTGGCCCCATAGGGAGCTCCACCGAAGGCCCCAGTGGGGGTGTTCGCATGCGGTTCCCCCACCCAGGGCAGCGTTTCGTAGCCCCATAGGGAGCTCCACCGAAGGCCCCAGTGGGGGTGTTCGCATGCGGTTCCCCCACCCAGGGCAGCGTTTCGTGGCCCCATAGGGAGCTCCACCGAAGGCCCCAGTGGGGGTGTTCGCATGCGGTTCCCCCACCCAGGGCAGCGTTTCGTGGCCCCATAGGGAGCTCCACCGAAGGCCCCAGTGGGGGTGTTCGCATGCGGTTCCCCCACCCAGGGCAGCGTTTCGTGGCCCCATAGGGAGCTCCACCGAAGGCCCCAGTGGGGGTGTTCGCATGCGGTTCCCCCACCCAGGGCAGCGTTTCGTGGCCCCATAGGGAGCTCCACCGAAGGCCCCAGTGGGGGTGTTCGCATGCGGTTCCCCCACCCAGGGCAGCGTTTCGTGGCCCCATAGGGAGCTCCACCGAAGGCCCCAGTGGGGGTGTTCGCATGCGGTTCCCCCACCCAGGGCAGCGTTTCGTAGCCCCATAGGGAGCTCCACTGAAGGCCCCAGTGGGGGTGTTCGCATGCGGTTCCCCCACCAGGGCAGCGCTTCGTGGCCCCATAGGGAGCTCCACCGAAGGCCCCAGTGGGGGTGTTCGCATGCGGTTCCCCCACCCAGGGCAGCGCTTCGTGGCCCCATAGGGAGCTCCACCGAAGGCCCCAGTGGCTGCTCTCGCATGCGGTTCCCCCACCCAGGGCAGCGTTTCGTGGCCCCATAGGGAGCTCCACCGGAGGCCCCAGTGGCTGCTCTCGCATGCGGTTCCCCCACCCAGGGCAGCGCTTCGTGGCCCCATGGGGAGCTCCACCGAAAGCCCCCGTGGCGCAGTTCGCATGCGCTTCCCCCACCCAGGGCAGCGTTTCGTGGCACCATAGGGAGCTCCACCGAAGGCCCCAGTGGCGCAGTTCGCATGCGGTTCCCCCACCCAGGGCAGCGTTTCGTAGCCCCATAGGGAGCTCCACCGAAGGCCCGCCCCGGTGGCGCAGTCCGCATGCGGTTCCCCCATCCAAGGCAGCGCTTCGTGGCCCCATATGGAGCCCCACCGAAAGCGGCACCCACAACGCGTTACCAACAATTGCTTATGGTTGGGTCTTTCGCCAGGATAATTTTTTCCTAAGGTCTCGTTTAGTTTTGCTAGGGTCTTGTTTAGTTGTCCTCGGGTCTCGTTTAGTTTTGGTATGGTCCTGTTTAGTTTTCCTATGGTCTCGTTTCGTTGTGCTCGGGTCCTGTTTAGTTTTCCTATGGTTAGGTAAGGTTATGTAGGGTCCTGTTTAGTTTTCCTAATGTCTTGTTTAGTTGTCCTATGGTCTTGTCTGGTTTTCCTAGGGTCTCGTTTAGTGTTGCTAGGGTCCTGTTTAGTTGTCCTAAGGTCTCGTTTAGCTTTGGTAGGGTCATGTTTTCCTGAGGTCTCGTTTAGCTTTGGTAGGGACTGTTTAGTTATCCGAGGGTCTCGCTTGGTGTTGCTAGGGTCCTGCTTAGTTTTCGCATGGTCTCGTTTACTTGTGGTGAAACCTGTTTATTTGTCCTAGGATCTCGTTTAGTTATGGTAGGGTCATGTTTAATTTTCCTAGTGTCTGGTTTAATTGTCCTAAGGTCTTGTCTAGTTGTCCCAGGATCTCGTTTAGTTTTGCTGGGGTCATGTTTGGTTGTCCTAGGGTCTCGTTTAGCTTTGCTGGTGTCATGTTTAGTTGTCCTAGGGTCTCGTTTAGTTTCGGCATGGTCATGTTTAGTTGTCCTATGGTCTCGTCTAGTTTTTCTTTGGTCCAGTTTAGTTTTCCTAGGGTATCGTTTAGTTTTGGTAGGGCCCTGTTTAGTTTTCCTCGGGTCACGTTTAATTCTGGCAGGGTCCTGTTTAGGTTTCCTAGGGTCACGGTTAGTTTTGGTAGGGTCCTGATTAGTGTTCGCAAGGTATCGTTTACTGTTGCTAGGGTCCTGTTTAGTTGTTTCTCGGGTCTCGTTTATTGTTGGTAGGGTCCTGTTTAGTTTTCCTGGGGTCTCGTTTAGTTTTGCTGGGGCCTTGTCTACTTTTCCTGGGGTCTCGTCTAGTTGTCCTATGGTCTTGTCTAAGTCTTTCCATGGTCTTGTCTAGTTTTCCGATGGTCTTGTCTAGTCCACCCCCACCCCCCCCCCCCCCCCCCCCCCCCCCCCCCCCCCCTCCCCATTCCCCGTTTCGTTTCCCTAGGGTATCGTTCAGTTTTGGTAGGGCCCTGTTTAGTTGTCCTAGGGTCTCGTTGAATTGTGCTTAGGTCCTGTTTAGTTTTGCTAGGGTCCCGTTTAATGTTGGTAGGGTCCTGTTTAGTTCCATATGGTCTCGTTAGTTTT